ATAGATCTTGCTTTTAGTGCCGATGATTATGTTGTTCTTATGATCAAACGCCATACCGGTGATCTTAAAGCCTAACTGACCAATTTTCACAGGCAATATACTCTTCGTGAAAAGCCTAAACAGAGAGCCTTTGACGGCTACTATTGCTTCGTCGTTATTATTCAACTGTAGTATATACTTCAGTTCTCTAGTGAATCCTTTGTATTGTATAGGTTCGTAGAAATCAACAGAGAAAAAGTACAATCTTCCGTCCACGTACTCGTAGTATGCATTCCCTTTACTATCCAAAACGAAGCTGTAAGCTTTCGGTATCTTATCATATCTTTTAACGGCCGCAGAACCATTCATGAACTTGAATATTTCATGGTTCGTGCCAGTAGCTATGTACATTTGACCATCTGCTTTATCAATGAATATGTTGCGTACATCATCGTCACCTATTGGTCTCTCCGCTGTGATTTCCGTTCTGGAATAATCGTATGTTACGAGTCCTTGATTCGTTCCTATGTAGATCGTGTTACTGGCTGCATCTACTCCAACGCATTGTCCGATAACGTCATCTGAAACTGGCAATTCTTTCACCCCTAAAGCGCCATGCTTTAAAAGATGTATTCCTTTAGTGTAGTTCCTTTTATGCAGTATGAAAAATATATTCTCTGTTCTAGGATCTAACACTATACCAGTCGGGTATCCGTCTATAGTAGCAATGAGCTGCCTCTTGTAATATTCGTTGCCAATTTTAGTTTTCTCACATTTTTCAGCTCTGTGTTGTTCTATGAATATGAATAGGATAGTTAAGGTTACAGCGGCGAGAGTTTGTTTTAAGCTTAGCATTTTGCCAACATTTCTTGACTGCAATGTTTCTGGAAAGAAAAATAACAATCTATTAAGTTTTTACTTTAAAAGTTTAATCAGGATTAGGTTCCTGTACTCAAAATTTATGCAAATAAACATTTCCAATAATTCATACAAAATATATCTACATTATTTGCTGGTAAATCTGAGCGTGTTACTTTAATTGGATTTTGTGATCACGTATGGAATCACGGTCCATACTAGACAGTATCGACGTTTTACAGCAGGCGTTATAGGAGGCAAAAGAGGATGCATTTGGAATAGAAAAAAAGTAGTCTTAGTAGGTAGTGTAGGCTAGGTAGGCTAGCAATCTTTTCAATGAACAAATCAAACTTAACTATATCAATTAAATATTCATACCCTATTAAAATTAAAAAATCTACATATTTACATGACTTATACCTATTTATTTTATTGCAAGTTGATTGAACCAATGGCCAGTTTGATCACTTAGTTTAGTTTAAAAATGTTTAACGTAAAATCAAATGCATTGATAAAAATATCTTTTACCTGTACTGATGCACCTCCGTTTAAGCTAATCGGAAGAGTGCCAAGATCACCGAAGCGTCAGCCGATAGTGGAGGATTTATTTAACTTCACAGCTATTGTGTCACACGGTGATGGTTATTAAACATCGTACGAGACTGTAAACATTGCGTACAGGGTGAAAAATTATTTATTGATTAAATTTTTGACGTAATAACAGAAATTGGAGTTATTTTATCATCATTATCACCAGCAGGAGCGCAAGCTTTCCTTATGAATGTAATATGGAGATTGGGTGATCAACCACACGGGACATGCGAGTGGGTGATAACCACTACAGATGCAGCAGGACCATAGGCTTAAAGTGCCTTCTAAAGCATATCCTGGTACTTCTATGGCAGCATTTGTGTAGGCCGGCAAGATGATGGCTGGTGTTGCAGGTAAATCTGCTGCTGTGTGTAGTCTCCTATAGAGCTGCCACGCCATACCTGCACTCTCGGCACGCATTATGGGGACCTTAATAATTATTGTGCACGTCGGGTTCCCGGTGCAGGAGCATTATTTATTTTTTACTGAGTGGGTCTTTCACAGGAGGAGACTTCGGATATCCTGTTCGCATTAGTCCCGGGGACTTAGTCAGGGAGGTGTAACCGTCTTTTCCAGATATAAAAAAAGGAAACTTAAACCAACTTCGGTATCTGGATGGACTCAACCAACCACTACTTGATATCAAATGGGTTACAATGATTTGCCTACCTGATTATAAAGAGATATAGAACGATGCTTTTATTCTTTAACTCTAGAAAAATAACATCGAACATCTTGGATCGAACTTTGCTATCCAGATTGAATGGTAACATGCCGTTTTGATATAAAAATCACAAGTGCTTTAAATGTTTGCCTTGGGTTTATATTAATGTTTAATTGTTCATAATATTTCATTGTTTTAGCACAAGTTTAGAGCTAGTAAGACCTTCATAATAAAACTTTCAAGGTTGAACAAAAAACATTACGACAACAAATTGAGCGAATTTAATTGTCTAGTTTTCACAAATTTAGTAATACAAAGTAAACAGTTAATGTAAAAATATTTCGTTTTCTTGCAATATATGCTGGATTGGCAGTGCTCGATAAAAAAATAACAAAATATCATAGCGGCCGTGAGTTTTCCGATGCAGTTAATATAATCTTGTCGACTGACAATATATTTTTCGACATAAAAAAGTTGTTAGCAATGCAATATGCACATTCACATTGTATCTGGATACCAACGCACCAAAACCTAGATTCAATTAATAATGCCAAATGTGTTATTTTCTTTTGTAAGAAGGCCAAAAGGAAAGTGCTTCCACCGAGCTGGGTGATAGTAGCTTGGGGGGCGCGGCCAAGACTGATATTGGTCTGATAAAACTTAAATTTGCCAACAGTGTATCCTTGTCATTCTCCATACAGAATGAAAAGGAGAGACTGATGTTAAAATTAGTTTTAAGTATAGAGAATCATGCCAGAATCGACACCATTGTATGTATGATTTGTGTTATTCTCCGAATTTCTTTAGCACGTTGTAGAACGCTTCCGAACATTTGAGTGCAGCGCTAGTAGTGCCATCTGCTGTTATGGAGTACCAAGTCTTCCTTCATTAATTATATGTGGGGCGTGTAGATGGCGCTGCCTCAATTTGAGGTGTTGCTATTTGTAATGAATTATTTACATAATGTAATTAGGGGAGAAGGAGGTACCTTAGCACAGCTTTTAAAAAAACACGTTATTTCTCTTTAACGTTTACAGCAAACATTTTATATTAACAAAGGAGTAAGTAAGCTAAAAAAACTATGTTTTTTTAATTTCTCTTTTCAGTTGATTTTTTATGAGTCCAAATATGAAAAATGTGCTAATGTGCCTCCCTCTACCCTACTTCAAAGTACTTTCTGTGAATATTATTATTACGAAATCTCAAGCTATACTCAAGTTAGTTTCCGTGCTAATTCAGTAATTAAGAACGAAATGTTATATTTATATTTAACATTTCTAATGTGTGTGACGTTTCTTTAACACTGTACCATACTTAATAGGGTTAGTACAATATGGCAGGTATATAACTTGAAAGTATAATTGAAATATTTTTTATAAAAATACACCTATTAATTAGGATTTCATTCAACATCATCCTGTGTCTGATGATTTAGAAAAGTAAAAAAAATGTGATGTAATAATATGTGTCACATTAGGACATGCTATTGTTCTAAGATTTCTAATGGATGTGTGAAAATAGGCAATGGTCCTTTACAATCTGAAAACTCTCCGGTCGGCTGTCGTTTAAGAATTACTGGCAAGATTAATCTTAGGTAAGTACGTATAAACTTAATAAAGTTATTTCGTTAGTTTTAGTTACAGAAGTAAAACTTATTTTCAGTTTACTATGTCACACTTCACATTATAATGAGCTTAGCAGCTAATCTATAATATGAATGATTACCATGATAAATACGAACAAACATTAATATTTAAGAATAAAATAATGTAAAATTGCCAAATATAAATAGAAAAATATTTAAGTGGATGTTCATCAGGAAAGATATAAAATTTGAAAATATTCTATACTAAAAATACTCCATTATTTTCAGCATAGTCAGAATACTTACCAACTTAATTTACTACAGATTTTATTGATGCCTTTGCTAGTATAAAACGTCAGGGGATTACTCTTCTAGGTTTACACCTAAAGTACAGAAACTCGACCTTAATTTAAAACGATATATATATCATCATGATGAAAACAACATAAATTTTGCAAGATCTGGAAATATGATTTTGTTGGCTGAGCTTAAAAATTCTAAGTACGTTACGCATCTACCCGAAATAATAAACGAAGAATAAGCTTGGATTTGTTACTCCATGTTTTGTCTCTGTTCATTGAACGACAATAGTTATTTATTATACAAGAGTGGAAAGTTCCTTTTTAACCGCGTGCTCGATTTGGATGACCGAGCAAGCGAAGGATTCTAAAGTTGAATCACGAGCGCAGCGAGTGATTCTAAATTAGAATCCTGAGCGTCAGCGAGGGAAACAAACGAGCACAAGGTGAAAAATCTTTCCACTCGAGTGCAATACGTAACTTTTCATCCCACCTCAGCGAGGAAATGACAAAATGAAAAAGAAAACAATTTATAATGACAAAATATTTAAGCAATAAAACGTGAAAAACTAGAATGGCGCGAAGCACGCAAATAAAACAAAGAAACCAAGAAGGTTCCAAATTTAAATTTTTTCACAATTTAAAAAGTTCTAATCATAAATTTGGCACCATAGAGGTTACATTAAATAGGTTTAATGACGTTTTGAATTTACAATTATATTGAGTACTCATTATATGTGATGTTCTAAATTCAAATCTACTTTGCCGCTCAAGCGAATAAAATAGAATTTTCCAGCCAGATTTCGAAGCGCAAAATTACACTTTCCGAGGTGGTGGGATGAAAATGGCATTTGTGTGACAGAAACAAAACACGGTGTAACTAGTCAAAGCTTATTCCGCGTTTATTAATAAGGGGGCTAGGATATAATTTTTATTTTAAATAACGTTACACTTTTCAGGAACAAAATGAAAGAAATAACTAAGAACAGTCTTTAATAGTCCAACTAATGACATTATCACAGAGTTACTGGATTCTTTGTTCATCACATTCGTCCGAACTGTATTTGTAGATAACACTGTTGGTAGCCAAATATATGTCTTCCTCATCGAAAGCAATGCCGGAAGGTACAAAATCCAAATTCATTAATTTCTTTGGTACTATATTGTCAGGGCTTAGAAAGTACAAGCCGTCGTTGGTGGCTAAAATCACTCTGTTATTATTATCGACTGCCATTGCTCTAGCAGCATTCCTTCCAATGCCTACAAACTCAATAGGTTCATGGAAATCTTTCAATAGAACTTTCACGTATTTAGTGTTACATTCATAATAAACATTGTCTAGTGCATCGACAGCGAGCATGAATGCGCACGGCACATCGTCCACTTTTCTTTTCTCATTTTTCTTTAGGTTTATCGTGTACACTCCATTATCAGGGTACAAAACTGCGTAGATCTCATCGTTGTGTTGTGGCTTGAACAGTAGAACTATATCTTCATCTTTCAAGCTCACGAAATTGGCTCTGTCCGTTTGATTTAGTACGTTGAGTCCGTCGTCGCTTGCTATGTAAACTTTGTTGTTTTTAACGTCTACAGCTGCGGCCTGGCCATTGACGTTATCGATTTTGATCGGCATATTATTCCTGAGAACGTATTGATCCATTTTTGTCTGTTCGTCATCGTTGTGCAGTGAATCTATATCGATCAGTGTGAAGAATAGGTCTCTTGTGTTGGGATTAACTACTAGATTGGTGGGAAGACCTTTTATTGTCAACACAGCAACCCTGTCGTAAGTCTGGTTCTCGAACGTGTACGGACATCGTTCTGATGCCACTGCCACTGTTATGAGAAGCAGGTATCGCAACATTTTAAATTTCTGAAAATAAAATAAGAATAATAAGCATGATAATTTGCACCAAGTTTACATTAAACTGAATGAGATCGTGAATAAAAATGGATTAGTATTGTAAGGCCCGTATTATAAAAAGATTCTCAGTAATTGATTTAGTCTTGAGCATAGTTAGAAAGGGATGTCGCTATATGTACCACATAGCGATATCCCTTTCTAACTGTCCTCAAGTAAATATCAACACTTAGTTGTCATTCTGTAATACGGGCCTAAAACTACACAGTAACGCCTGGTTAAAAAAAATACGCAATGACATCTTAAGTGTGTTCGTTGGGAATATTACTTAGTTGTTAAAAATGTACTTTGAAATATATACTAATATTATAACGAGGTAGTTTTATGAGTTTGTGAGTTTGAAGTGGGTCATCTCTGGAGCTGCTGAAATGATTTTGAAATCTTTTTTATCAATAAATTATTACGTAAAATTACGTGTTAGGTTATTCAAAATCCGAAATATTAAAAGACTTATAACACGGATAAAGTCGTGGGTGGCTCCTAGTGTAATATAACACTGTTAATATATTTTATAACCGAAGCCTTCATTAAAATATGACAGAACCAGTTAAAGAGTATTTATTCATCATTACTAAATGTAATAACTAAAAATATTGGTGTTATAAACTAAAACTATAAAAAAGAGAAAGGATAACAATGGCAAGGCAATAGTTTCCATTCGGACGTGATAAATAAATTTTGAAAGTCCAAAAATATTTAAAAACTTTTGTGTCTCATTTCCGGTTAACTACTTGCAGGAGTTCAACTGAATAAGTGCTTATTCATATGTTACATAATTTTTTAATTAAGTTTATAGAACAGATAAAAGTAATCCTGTTCGCTATGATGTCAGCAATTTAATTATTTCATTGGATATTGATATGATATTAATATTACTGTATACACATTAGCAGCTTAGAAAATGCTAATCAATTTACAATTATTGTTGAATTACGATAAGATAATTGTAAAATAAGGTGTAACGTATTTATTATATTTACCTATTAAAATTATAAAAGCTTAAAACTAATTATTGTCTAGAACTGAAATTTATTGTTTTATTATTTTTTTATTAATTTGCTTCATTTTTCTTAATAAGTATAAGATTTAATTATGAATATCTTTTTTTAGGAAATATAACTGCTATTAAATTCAATACCTACTATGAAAATACTTTATTTAATTCAAATCATTAAGATAAAAACAATTACCCGGAAATAGGTACTAATTTATGCAATTTTTTTTAAATTATTAGCTAAGCAATAATCCGTGTTTTTTTATACTTAATAAGCCAATATGAAAATCATGAAATATTCTATAAAAAACTTACATTTTGATAAATTTATAACCGTGGCGACGTCCACAGAATTAGGCTTCGAACTGAATAAATTATGTTTGTGAGACACTAATTATAAGATGATGTTTTGATCTATTTTATTTATCATTGGTTCAACGCACGTCTATCGAATTGGGGCAAATTAACAACATCTGTAGCACATCGAGCTACAATTAATTAGCTAACGGCTAAAACAACTGATAGTTTCATTTTAATACAAGAAAATATGTTTGTTCGTGTGTTTGTTTCGTAATGAGCCGTTATCATGTCATCGCCCCCTATATATATGGTATGTAAGGAAGGAAGGAAATATAGGTGGTTGGTTTCCATTGCACTATGTTTAAAATGTTATGTTAAATAAAATAACTGCCGTTTCTGCAATGTATTAATTGAACTGAATTTTTTTATATATAACTAGCGGCCGCCCGCGACTTCGTACGGGTGGAGTTAGTTAGAAATAAAGGTTCACTGCTCGTTCCCTGTAGGTGTTAGCGTCATAATATGTAGCCTATATGTTGACCCGACTTCTTAATAATATTCGTGCTAAATTTGAAGTAAATCTATGCAGTATTTTTTGAGTTTATCCCAGGCATACAAACAAACAAACAACACAAAAAAATTTAAAACTATATTTTTGGTTTCGGTATCGATTTTAGACCACACCCCAAGTATTCTTTTAAAAAAATATTCAATGTACAGTTTTGACTTTCCTACAATTTTATTTTACGTATAGTAGTATAGATTCAAAAATGTTCATTTGTTTGTTTTAAGTGGACTTGAAAACATATCCGAAAAACTATTTTGTTTCTTTTTCTATTTCTTTTTTATCATAATGTAAAACAAATTTTCACGCTAACTTTATTTTTCATGATGATACTGGATTCTGCAACAATTTAATTGACAAAGAGTATCCTTCGACAGTTCAGTTATTATTTAATGAAGGCAGGTATCAGTTTTGAGAAATTAGCTAGAACTAGTCTTTTGTTTCTATTATAGCTTGTAGTCCAGCACTTGTAGCTATTGCTTATATGTTATTTTTTTTTTTTTTTCATAATTTTTTTATTTAGGTGTCTACTAATAAAACTAGTTATTATTTTTAAATACAAACATAACTGTTATATATCTGTATTTATGTTAGACTATTAGCTTAAAACAAAAAGGGCAGATACGGTACGTTCATACTAGCATCAAGTAAAATATGATCCAACTCAACTACATGAGTAACTCTCACTCACGGACACGTCCGTATATAAACATTCAATCGAGCGAGCGAGACAGAACAATACGCTTCAACGCTTCTTGATAACAAAATGGCGATTACGTAAATAACATTCACGACAAACCGTGATTTTTGAGACAAAAAATGTTTTTGCAATTTTACGAATGAAAATTGTAGCCGAGGCATTTGATTTTGAACTATTTGTGTTCTTTATAAAAACATCGAAGGCATTGTTTTATCTTTATAACTCAGAATATACGCAATATTGTTATGTTGAGTGCACATGCAGCGTGTTTCAATGTCCAATTGTGACTAAAGCGAATTATGGTATTTAAGCGGATCACTTTTGAGCAGCGAGTGCCGTATCTTCCCTTTTTGTTTTAATCTAAGACTAAAAGGTATATCTAATAAAGGTTGCTAGATTGTTAAAAAATATTTATATGGCGTGTGAGCTACCCGCTAAACGTCTTTCGCGAAATTTCTTTTGGTACAAAATATAGTGCAATGGAAACAGTATTTTCATGGTCAAATGCATCTTCAGATACGATTGCGTGTAGGAACTGTTTCAGCGAAACTGAAGTTGTCTGTGTTTCTTAAACAGTACTTTCCTTATTGTTATGGTGCATAGAATCATAATTGTTATTATGAAACTGTTACAAGTATTATTTTTAAGTCTCACACGAGTTAAAGAAAATATAGTCGTCAGCGGATAACGTGTGAGTTGCACCATAGAGCTAGATAAAAATTTCACTATACAATTATTTTTACAGTTAAATTATGACCCGATTTTAACTATTATCAAATGATGCAATCCTTTTTTTACCTAATCTACTTAAGTTCGATACTTGAATAGAACAGTTAAAATAACTTAACTCACGCTAAAAACTTTTTTTTTTATGATAAAACTTGATTACCCATGCCTATTCTACAGGCATCTGTGTTTTAAAATTCTAATAAGCTTTATTTCTCTATCAACTATTCGAGAATTCATAGAGGTACCAATTTATTATTGCGTGAAAATGGTCATAATGTACCTCCATACAAATGTGACCTATGAGTATGTTGTGTTTTGAGGGAGGGAGTATGTTTTCTTTTGGGAAACCTTATCAATGAGCTCTTATTTACCGAGGAAATTTCTGTGACCAACTTGGTTTCAAAATGTGATTAAAAAGAATTCCTTGTTTTGAAAAAAATATAGATTTTTTGGTATTTAAATACTTATATTTAATTATTGTTTCAGGTGCCAAACATGTATTACACAATGTTGGTAATGTTGTTGGCGACTTCTACAAACTCCCGATACATCATCTCAAAGAAAGAAGACAGCATGTTCAAGAACGAACAAATAATCTTCGCGTCTGATTTCAACATAACCAGACTCTTAGTACCAGCCGACGGGAACAAGTATATCCATGCAGACTCCTCTGACATCCCATCTATATTCTTCACCATATCTGATCCTAAGCTTGAAGGCGGTAGCTGTATTTATGTTCTAGAAGGTTTCGCTGCCTATGAAGTTCTAGAAGGAGGTCGAGACTCTACAGCGGACTACGGCCACGATACAACCATCTTCTTTGGTGCTAAAGATGGCATTTATAAATACAACTCCGGTTCGCTATCTGCCAAGAAATATGGACCGTTTCGTGATGATATTGTTCAGTTGCAAAAAGCGAACGGCTCAGATGCTATTTACATTTTGAACAACGAACACAGGATATATAAAATTGAAAAGAATGGCACTGTCAGAACGAGAGTGCGCAGCGTTCCATGCGCTTTAGAATTTGTTTTGGATACGTCTGATAATATATATTATTTAGATTGTGATGATCACATGCCTCATATAGTGAAGTCCGATGGAAGCCTTCTCTCGCTTACCACTAGCGTTGTAGAAGACTTCAAAGAGGTGAAATTGCTGAGACCAGCTTTTGTCATGGAGAATTGCATACCTTTCTTCGGTGATGGTAATTTATACATACTCTTCGCCAATGGTACAAATGAAAAGAAAGATTTCTATTTAGCAGAGAAACCTTCAGCATTCAGTATCGATGCAGCTTTGTATCTCGTGGCTGCGATAGATGGTAAGATATACGAGTTTAATGTAATGGAAATACTTTTGAGATCCATGTTCGGCTTATCCACGGAATGGCCCAGAGATGTGACTAAGATTCTCATGTCTATAATTGATTCTACAAAGGAAAATATAAATGGTATTTACAAAAAATCGATTTCATAGAGATGTAATAATAATAAGTTTAGTGGTGACATTGGATTAAAATAGATTCCTTAGTTCTTTATATTTACCCCATATCAGTCATGGAAATGCATAATAATTCTTATCATTAGATTTAAATAAATACTTCATAAAATAATAAAATTATTTTATGAAGTAGTTTTTATTGGTTACAACTGTAATAATATTTTGGTCAACTTTTGTGAGTGTTCCTCTGATATTGTATTTTATTTGTGTATTCCAATTCTATTTCATTAACACTGTAGATATACAAATGTTTCATCATTATATTTTATTTAATTGTTTTTAATGGTCAACCACTCTGACTACAACTTCGATCCCAAAGCTTCCAGATAAGATTAGGATAGTAGAATTTTGAGCTTTTACTTCTTGAAAAAGAGGCAAATTAAAAAAACGTTCTCATTTTCCCAATACAGTTGTAGAGAATAGTATTTAAGGTAAATTTATAGAAAATAATATTCTTAAATCAGGAAGTACTGTTTATTATGTAAGGCATTAGATAGGACCAAGATTTGCATGATCATATTATTTTATTCTACTTAATAAAGACCCTTACGAAGTTCAATTATGTATCATTTTCGGCCCACTTAACATAAAATTGGCCAAAAGCTTGTTTGCCACACTTTCCATAATTATGCCTATTTTTCCGGTATGATACATATTGTGTTAGTAAGATAACAAAATATCAAATAAATAATATAATTTATACACCGATATTATTAACTACTATAAACAATATTTGTAAAAAAATCTTGATATTTGTTTCATTATACTCCTACTGCAATAAAATCAACTTTAATCAATGTTAAGAGAACTTAAGTCCTAATTAAAGTTTCTGCGTGCGGCCATTAGAGACAATAAGATTTTTGCGATAATATATATTTTATTTATAATTTGTATTTTTAAGCATGTAACTGCTTGATGTTTCAATCTAAAGAAAATATAACCAGAAAAAATTCCACGTGGACCAGGCAGCAGAAGTAAGACGGGACTCGAACGCGCACCCTTCGCTATCCGGGTGAATGCACTGACCCATTATGCTACCGCGGCCCCGATGCGGGTATCGATCGATGCGGGCGACGCGGGTTCGAGTCCCGTCTGCTGCCTGGTCCGCGTGGATTATTTTCTAATTATATTTTCTTTATATATATATTTTAATTTATTAACATCCAACACTATTAACAAAACTAAGCTAGAATTTCCCCTATTGATCTGGTAGCGATAGTTTGGATCTGATCAACCTTATCTTCAAAGAAACTCTTGATACCTTCAACCATTTCAGTTAAAATGATGGATAGGATGTTGAATTCGTAAATTTTCTTGTTATAAGCGTAATAGTGGATAAGTGCAGTTTCCATTGAGTAAGCGGTAGGATGGACATTCATAATTATCTGGGCATATTCGCTCTTGCCATCAGGCGTTGCAGCGAAAGCTTTCTTCCCAGCAATCACGGGTACACCCTCGTCCAAAACGAATGGAGGCCTAGTTAGCTGTACATAGGAAGGATGTCTCGGCAGACCTTCAACTTTTTTCACCTCCTCTTCGCTGTACACGTAAACTTGGTTATCAGTGTCCACATAGAACAAATTGTTTTGCCAGTCTACTACTATTTGTTGTGCATTTTGGATTTTGTCCAGTTGTTCTTTGACTGTGCCTTCCTCTGTAACTCTATACACTTTTTTGTCATTAGTCAGAATATACATGACGTCTGTGCCGTTTTCTACTTCGATACCAACGATATCTTCATTGATAGTGCCGTATTTTTCGGCGCCGTTGGTTTTGACGTTGTACAAGTATATTCCGTCTGATGAGGCCAAGAATACTTTTTTATTGTCGCCGGTGGGTGCGGCCATGTCTTTGCCGTTATCGAGGACTTTGCTCGCTACTCCATTCTTCAAGACGTAGAGACCTTTATAGTCGACCTTTCCTTCGGCATCCTTTTCTCCCTCCACGAAGAATATGTAAAGGTTCTCTCCAGATTCTTCGTCATCGTCTTCGTTGAAGTTCAGTTTGTTGAGTGGTGTCAGTAATTTAATTATGTCGTTTTCCGATGTATAGATAACTATATCCTTGATAAACGACTTTTCATTGATGACGAGGGAGTCAGCATCTCCAACGGGAGTGGAGCAGGCCAAGCCCGCGAACAGCAGCAACATGAAGGTTGGTAAAATATTCATCTTGCCTGTAATAATATTAATTATTTTTTATTTACGTGAAGTGGGTGGTATAGCAAACAAGCATGTGTGCCGCTTGATGGCAAGTGTCGACCGAGACTCTTGCGATAATGATAATAAACAGTGTATCATTTGTGCGTTGCCTAATAATATAACCCTAGCATCTACCCTGTGGACTGTAGATTACAAAAATACAGCACCAAAGTAGTTTTAATTTGTCGACAAACTTCTAAGTACAATAAAGAGTGAGGTGAAGAATGTTTCGACAAACAGCCACATCAATTTATACGGATAATTCATTTCCTTCCTTTAATTTTTGCTATTCATATTAAAACACTTTTATTATTTTTACTTTATTCATAGAAACGGCTCGTTCCGATGAAACAAGCTTTCTGTGATCGGCTGGATTGTATTGCTGTCGTTAGCTCCGACCTATGAAAGGTCGTTTCATAAATGCCGTTGTTTCTCTTCCTTATGTTGTTTTAAGCGATTATGTGATAAAGTCAGCCCTCCACTACTAGACATTACCCTAAATCTGTTCAGGTTTATGCAGTAATATCCATACGGATATTAATTGATTTGCTGTGAGAGTAAACGATAGTAGATATTTTTACTTATTGCTATTATGATAAACAGAGTTATTATGAATATTATCTTCTGGGATGACCTGGTAACCAGCTTCCAGGCTTCTTTGAAGCTTTCATCGACTTTGTTTTGTAATAATAATGATGTGTTACTGAATCATTTTAAAGAATTAACATTAGAAACAGATTTCTAAATAAAGAGTATACAATAGGTGGATCTTTAATGCTACATAGGTGGAAGTTTTTTTATTGTTTTTATGGTAAACGAGCTTATGGCCTCGCTAAAATCATTCGTACTGTCGCCTCAACAAATCTCATCCTATACCCCGTGGAGCCCTGGAAGTTTACCAATAGAAACACAACACCACAAAAACTAAGTGTTATTTTACGGTGGTTTTCGGTAAAGAAGTAAGGAAAAACCATTAAGGAAATATTAAATGCAATAGAAGACAGACAGTAAATATACCTACCTTAAACAGAAGTAATTAAAATAGTGGTTGTTTACCGGATTGTTGTACTATTAATATGTCAAGGTTAACATAGAGCAGTCATAATATACCTATAATACATGTTCCGGCTAAAAATATCAGTATTAATAATATGCAGGGAGTACCAAATGATTATTGTACTTATTTATTAAGTTCTTGAACTGTGTAGGGTCAAGTGGGGTAGAGTGTAACAAAGGGGCATAGTGTAACATATATAAATATCTCTGTATCTAGTGGTTTGTGTAAGTAAAATGGCCGTCAAATCGTTTTGTTTCCCGCGCTTCACAAAAATATTGCGAGTTTTACGGAACATATTGTTTTAATTTATATCTTAAATCAATCTTAAATAGTTTCTGCATATATATCTAAATATTGTATCGTTTACGTTTATATCGACAGGGGTTTTTTGACGTTGGCAGAAATCTAGCATTTACACAGACCACTAGGTATTATATTCGGTCATTTGACGTTTGATGACAGCTGCTTAAGATGTTGGATTATGAAACTAATAAAACACGCCAAGACAGACCATAGACAACTAAGAAAAGGGCAGATTTGTAACTTATGTTACACTGTGCCATTTGTAACACGTGCTCTTGACTGTTACTTTTATGTATATATTAGTTCGAATGTAGTTTATGTCACGCAATATAGTTTACAGGGTGACAAAGCATATTAAGGCCCACTTGCAGTTCATTTGCTAAATCTCGATTAAACTAAAGCATAGAAAAATGTCAACATGTCAATATCAACTCGACATCACTATATGGGATAAATTTAGTTTTGGTAAAATTAAGATATGACAAAAATTAGTGCATGTGGGCCCGCTCTCCTAGCATGAACACCGCGATATGATATATTACTTGTTTTTATCACGCTCAATTGTCAAATTACCTACTATGAAGTTTGACAGTTAGACGCGATTAAAAACTTGATATAACGTAAAATGACGTCACCTGCTTGTAAACATGCTGTCGAAGTGACATTACTTTGTACTGTTTGACGTTTTGAAGACGTTAATTGCCTGTAAGACGCCTTAGGGCGCTTTCAATTTATGCGTTTCTTGACGGTCTGCTGCTGTGCCGAAGCGGTGCGTTTGTCGTACAGCGTACGGACGATCCTTTTTTTTCACACAAAACGCGCGGTGCGGCAACAGTGCGGCGCCGCGCCGCTACCGCGAACGCTCGACAACAGGACTGTTGCCGCACCGCAGCAGGCCGTCAAGAAACGCATAAATTGAAAGCGCCCTTATGCTACGGGGACTGAGGTTCCCTTGTAGCAAATTTGATTGTGATAAGTTGTTATTCGGGTATTTATAGACAAGTTACCAGATTTCACTTTATTTTTTTGAGTGCTATTGGTAGCAAATGACCTTTACAGCGTCTCCGGGTTTGGGGAATTCACTATTGTCCATAATAAATCATTGTTTTAATATATAGCATTATATAGCGAGGTATTCAATGCAGGTTTTTACTGAACGTAACTGTAAAATTGACATTTTATTTCCGAATAATATCACAACTGATTGATGTGATGTAGATATACTATCTGCTCAGTAAAGTTGGAAAGGACACCCGGCATTTTGTGCCAAAGTTGTATACTTTTTTATTTTTTTTATCTGTGTTTCATGATTGGGTAACGTAGTCTGGCAATATTTGTCATCAGCAGCTAGCTGTCATTGTCAAATACGTAGGTTTGTCAATATAACCTCTATATGTAGCCGGGTCGTCAAGAGAAATAACGGATAAAAAGGCAATCACAGCAGAGAACATTCACAATCACAGTACGCCGGAGCGGATGCGAAATGCGAATGATTTTTTTGTTTGTATTTTAGGATTGTCAAATTAACATTTGGTTTTTTATTTAGAAAAAGCAAAGGAATAATGGTTTTTACAGTCACTTGAGTAATATTTTGAAGTAAAATTCTGTCTCTTGAAGGTTTAGGGTTTCCATATGAAAAAATATTAATCATTATATAACTTCTTTCCACGATTCACTAAAAATAAGACAAAAGTAGTTTTATTTAGCAAATAATTTGGGCTTTATTTTGAGACCAAATTCAATTGTATGCAAGTTTAGCATTTTTTCTATGAAAAGTGCCTGGTCTCCTTTACAAATTTTATGTTTTTTATATCACCAAGTCCAGCATGCATGGAAGATTAAAAATAAATGATTTCGTAAATAATAATATTAGTTGATAATATTGTGATGAACACTAAAATATTATAATATTTTTTCACTTAAATTATTTAAATTTAACATTATATTCACTATAATAAAATACACCTACCTAAAAGAACTTTTCTTAATTAAGTTTTTAAAATAATTATGGGAGCAGTACAAGTAAAACTAAAACTAACTTAGAACTTACCTCTTCTTATTATATTCCTTGAATAACAGATATTTTCTTCATAAACACAAATATATACACACAGATAGTACTTAGATAACCGTATATATTGTGCATGTCAAATAACCATACATGATGCTTTACACTTATCATATAAATGTGATCCTTATTGCAGACTACATAAGGATTCTATGATATTGAAATTGAATTTTCAAACACGTTGTCCATAGGTGAGAATGTTATCTGAAGTCTTGACCCGCGATAGGAGTAAATTTTTCTCAAAATATTATTTCTGTTCCATAATACCTAGTATGTTTCTGTTTCCAAAATGTGTTATTTTATGAACGGTGGCATTTTATAGTGTGTGGGACTATTTTTCATAAAAATATACATTGATAATTGTGGGTTACCTACAATTCGAAGAGATGGCGCTGCCTCACAGCTTAAGAAAGGCTAGACAGAATTCGATACGGCTAGCAAGGCCGCGGTAGAATAAGATACGATACGATAAGATTTTTTATTTAACCTTTGGGTCGTCGTTGTTGTCGTAATTTTTTTTCTCGTCGTGAACAAGAAAATTATCTTTCTCCAGTTTCCGTAGCATGAGCACAACAATTTACATTATATCACGTTTTATATCGCGTCAATCTGCCAAACCCCATAGTAATATGACAAATGAGCGTGATAAAAACGCGTTAAATAGGTATCATATCGTGGTTCTCATGCTACGGGGGCAGAACAGTTACTGGCGAGAGTACACACACTTACACTTAAGAAGAGCTATGTCAACGTTTGGGTGAATGCTTTGAAGACCTTCAGTTCGTAACCATTTCGACAAACTGAAAGTACTGTTCCGATCTTCATTTTTTATAGTTAGCACAAAAATGGTGACATTTACTGAAAAATCTCCTTTTTAGGAGATTTTATTTACAGTGCTTTGATTTCTGACGCGCTTAATTTTGTCAAATTAGGGTATCGATTGGGGCCTTCCCTAAATCTGGCCGCCATAAATCCGTAAGCGGATTTACGGATCACATAATTTGAAACGGCACTGTATATTATAATTAATAATAATAATAAATTTACATAGAAATATTTATCATTACAAAAGCTTAAAACTACTTAATGTCTCAAAATTCAAAAACCAAAAATAACTAAGTACCTAAATAATATACAATTTACAAAATAAAAAATATATCTTCCCCAGCGCCGCTGTCAGGAATGGTGCCCTTCCTCGTTGGATACCAAGGATAATCCGTTGACCAAGGTAGCTGCCAGCCTTTTGATCACTGGTCGCCTCATTGAGTCTCTTAGACAATTCTTTAGAGAAGGAACGAGTGCTTGGACCCCATGGTCCCATAGTCTCAACACCAAACGGCACAAATATATAGTTCTCATTGAGAGCTGAAGCCGAAGCCGCCGCCGCGCCTGCAGCCAGGGAGGTACTACTTGTATGGCACGGAGCGAGCGTATCCACGCAAGTTGCGTCCCATCCAAGAGGACGACCCTGCTTCCAAGGAATGAGCGTCATTCCGTCAGGTCTCTTGCCATCGTCTAGGACCGCTGGCACATTGACTGCGACAAGAGCTCTGCGGATGACGTCATTGATACAGGCGTTCCGGGAGACTAGACTATCGCTCATTTGGCATGAGAGACCATGGTGTCCGAAATTACTGACGCGAGTTCCGCAACGACAACGATGGGGGTGATTGGTCTTGACGCCGAGTCTAAGTGAAATTGCCAGTGATAGAGTGCTCCTGTCAAGCAAAGTCCCGATATTGGCTGAAGGAAGAGTTTGCAGACAATAACCAGACTATATTAACATATACTTAATATTATATGCAATGTATATTAACTGCATAAATAATGCGGCATCGACGATGCATGGGATATTTAATAAGGTGTTAGGTCTACCATCTTTTGGAATATGATTGTTGTTACCAAATTACCTTAATAACATCATGAAACCGATTGAAACCTATTAAGTTCTAAGTAGTTACTTATTTATGTGTTTTTTATATTTTTTAAGCATTTAACTGCTGGATGTTTCTACCTAAAGAAAGTTGAAAGAGATGGTGCTGCCTTGCAGCCTAAAGCTAGAGAAAAAATTCGACACGGCCGTCAGGCCCGCGGTAGCATTTGCCTGGATAGCGACGGGTGTGGGTTCGAGTCGCGTCTGCTGCCTGGTCCGCGTGGATTTTATTTTCTAGTAAACTTTTCTTTAGGTACTTGCTTGATAAAAAAATATTTTAAAAATTTCCTCATCCAAATAGGTAGGTACTTAAGATAATTTATATCTATAGAAAATTTTATTGAAAAAATTGTACTCCGTTTAGATTTCAGACGGGATTCGAACCCGCTCTTGCTATCCGGGCGGACCTACTAACTAGGTAATTATGCCAACGAGATCTTAATAGTAATGCCTCTATATAGTATTTCTTAAGCTACAAGGCAGCCCAATCTCTTCGCATTGTAGATAACCCACAATGTTTAAACAAAATACGTAAGGTTTATATTTTTTAGCATTTAACTGCTATCATTTAAATATTTTTTTAGCGAGGTAGGCAAATGACTCTTCCTCACCTGATGTTAAGTGGTGATAAAGTCCAAACGCAAAGAAAGCTGGTACAGCAGTTATAAACTGCTACACCAACCATTCTCACTTTGCCGGCCTGCAAAAATGCTTCTTCAGGCCTCTCTTAAAGGACCCCAGATTATAGGAAGGAGGTAAAGAATAAATGCTTTGAAATATAAAATAATAATATACTTAGATAAGTATTTACGTAAATTTCACTATTTACCTACACATTTAATGTATTGTCCTTTAATATAACAACATATTTATTCGTGGCATGGTTCATAAGTTAATCTTAAATAAAAATATGTGATGATCGACTTTAAAAGGTATTGGGTAAATAAACAGACATTGTTCAACTTAAAATAAAAACTTTTATTTATAAAAATCAGATAATTTCTCTAATTTATTATTTACTTACAACAGTATATAAAAAAAAATATGTTCATTCACATTCCATGCTACTAAGGCATCGATATAGTCAAACAACAATAGTAAATTTTAAGAATAATAAAATGACATAAAAATATATTCTTTATTTAAAAATTTCTACAAAAATGTCAAACGTCAGCCATGGCCGCTTGAGATTTTTGTTAAATAAAAATTATTGGTCCACTAAAATAATAATAAAAGTTCATGAAAATATTTTATCACTTTTAAACAGATCTAAATAATCTTTGTACTTTTATTTAAATATATTATATATTTGGGGAAGTGTGATGACTTTTGGGCAATAAAATGTTGTCACATTTCCCCAGAAACTTATTGTCCGTTTCAAGTTACAAACATTCGATAAAACAAAACAAAAAAAAAAGAAAAAGAAATACAACAATCAGCACGACAGCAAAAAAAAAAACAATTCACAATTTATTAAGATAATTTTAAAACTAAGGCAGTTTCCTTTTGATTTATATAATACCTATTTTCCATATTTATTATGAAATGGAATACTGTATGGATTCTAAATAAATGTTCTCAAAATATTGTTATTGGATTTTAATAACGAAAAAATATATATCTGTTTCACATTTTCATTATGCAGGAAAAATAAATTAACTATGTATTATAACTTTACTTAGACAGAGTCGGCTCAACGCAAACTTACAAAAAATAAGTACATGTACATAATATGAATTTTATTTTTTACTCTTACATAATTTTTATTCTGAGTAGATAAATGAGGAAAAATTTAACAAACTACTTAAAGATGATTTATAAAAAAAAATATACACAATATTTATGATTCTTTCCGAAACATAAAATATATTATAAATTATTATTAAACATTGGCCTGTACGGTTAAATATCAAAATTGTAACCAACTCTGAAAGGACGAAGAGAGCTGCGTTTATGAACTAAATCTTAAAAATAATAATAAAATTTAACTAATTCTTACTTTAACAATTTTTCATTATTCTTTTCATAACGATAAAACAAATTTAATTTTGGAATGTCATTTTTTTTAAATTAGGTATTTATGATTTTTTAAAGGCCATTAGTGTTTCTTTTTTCAAAGTTGGCAAAGACAAGTTAATAATTTTAATTAACTATATAATATCTAATTATTGTTTTGAGGTTGCATTCAACATAAATTTAATATATTAAATTAAACGAATTAATCCACTGCAGAAGGAACAGAAGTGACCCGTCACCTCAATGTCACTGTCAAGTCTATCTCCATCCTTAGAATATCCTTACAATGTAAAAAAAATAGCACATACATGTATGAGGGCGCGTCCAGACTATGTATATAACAAAAATGTTATGAAACATTGTTAAATACCATTTGATACAAGTGTGGACAATAAATTTTAGACGTTTTATATAACAAATGTATATAAATATAAATGAATCGCCGAAATGTATGTAAGCACATAACTTTCAAAAGATTGCACCAAGAAGAATAATTATTTTGTTATTGTGTTCAATATTGCCAGGATAAGGTTTGTTTATAAGAAAAACGATTTTTTAAAACCTCATAATATGAAAAGTCATTGATTGAATGAGACAGAAATACTTAAACAGTTAAACCAGTCCTTCAGGAATCACGAAAATATATAGATACGAAAAAAATATGGCAGTACGAAGTTTGCCTGGTCAACTGGAATGTTTTTATAATCATAATTTTATATAAAATTCAATTATTAAAATATGTAACGGTATTGTATGTAAATTTAAAATAATATTATACAATAATTAATAATTTTATATAAGTTATATTATCTGGACGCACCTTGAAAAGTCGTTAGGAAAGGGGATGTGAGGGGAAAAGGCTACACAGTTTTTTTAAGGATTGTATTTATTCGGTTGGATGATTTCATGATTATTCGGTGGAGTGTTTCTGTCACTTTTGTTCTGCTTTGTCGAGAGAGGGACGGAGACGATTTGCAGCTTCATCAGGGTGTCTCACTTGGTGTGGACGAGGTTAAGGAATTCCTCCCTTGTTTTTGGGTCGTCGCGGAACACTCCGAGCATGGTAGAGGTTACAGTCTTGCTGTTTATCTTCTGTACTCCTCTCATAACCATGCACATGTGACTGTGGAAATAAAAATATGGTTGCATATAAGGTGTATGTTTTTATTTTTCTTCGACGATTGGTTTCAACACTTAAAAACAGAGAAAATTTTACAAATTTAATTGAATTTTGCCCTCTGTGGTTCTAAAATGGAGACAGGATGAATCATCTAAAATAGGTTAAGTGTCAATTTTACGTTATCAATTATACATTTCCTTTGTTTCAAGAAATATCTTGTAATTTATTCTTGAAAATAATGAATCATAAAATTAGCTTTGTAGAGTCAAGTCCCTGGATTCAAAGCAGTATCCTTGTTATTCGGATAACTGCATTGACCGCTATGCTACCTCAACGGGTGGGTCAAATGTTTTAAAGTATATATTGGGCTGTAAGGCGGAGTCACCTGTACATTGATGTACCTTGAATGTCTAATGAGATACTTTTACAAGTATGTATTAGATTCGAAAGAAAGACAGCAAATTGCAGTTTTAATTACCTACAATTTCGCTTGGTTAACGTAGGATCATTGCTGAGTCATTTTTTCCTGGGATTTTTTAAAGAGTAATATCCGAGAATAACAAACACTTAGTATCTTTATACATAGTGCTGCTAAAAATGCATTTATAAATAAAATAGTTTTTTTTTATATCAAGTCTTACAGACGACCACAGTAAAATAACACTACCTTTTGGTGGTGTTGTGTTTCTGTCGGTGAGTAAGGTTCCAGGGCTCCACGGGGTAAGGGATTGGGTCAGGGTAGGCAACGGTGCGAGTGATCTTTTTGTATCGCAAGCGCCTATAAGCTATGGTGGCCGCCTACCATCAGGTGGACCATATGCTTGCTTGCCACCTTTTTAACATAAAAAAATAAGAAAATTTGATATTTATTAATACTTACACTCCTTCTATAACGACGGCGACGCCGGCAGGTCGAACCGCTTGAGTGACGGCGACGGCTATCTGTTTGGTGAGTCTTTCCTGCACTTGCAGTCTTCGAGAGAAGATTTCCACGATCCTGAGCGAATAACAAAATAAAGAAGTTATAAAAATATAAAATAGTGGATCAGGACAGCTCAAAACTATTATTTAGTCCTAAGCAGAGCTTAACATCATCAGCCTATTAATGTCCCTACGGCGGCCGCTAGTATTTAATAATTTTTAACTTAAGTTGTCTGATATGAATAAGTTTTTATTTATCAAGGAAATGAAACAACTTATAAAAATATTATTATTAAATATACATATTATTTTGTGCAGTATGCCACTCTTAGATATTATGTGAGTATATTTAACAAAAAAAGACATCATAGAAAGCAACCAGAATGGTGATTCTTGAACCACTTTCGCCCAGTCTCCTTTGGTTGAAAACCCTCAGCGGAGGTGACAAGTTGCTAAGACCCAGGTTTGAGTCGCATCTGATACGTGAAGATAAGTTGACTTTTCCATTCAGGTGACAATTGCAAATAGCTATATATTATAGTCAGATTATAAGTTTTTACTATTTTTGCATTGTTTAACATCTTTTCTTTGGACCTCACGTTATGGAACTTCTTTTAGAGCAAGCAATGGAATTTTCTAAGACTTTACCTCACCAACTTGCTACATAACTTTTATGATAGAAATATTTATTATAATGCAATTCTTACCTTGCTAACTTGCTGAGTCCAAGGATCTTGCCCTGTGGCAGATACCCAATGGAAACTTTCCCGTAGAATGGCACCAGATGGTGTTCACACATGGAGAACATTTCAATATCCTTCACTACAACCATTTCGTCTGTATCTTCATCAAATATAGCATTGTTTAGGACCTCTGTAATAGAAACATAGGGGTTTAGAAGCACAAAACTACAAAAATCAATATAAAATTTTGTAGTCTTTTGGCTGAGTATATTTTACTTTAACAGAATACCATTATTTCCTCAATGAACTCAAAACGCTTTCACCGAGAAAATAATGGTTTTCCGTTTTTTTAATATTAGCAATGTTTTTATTAGCGTAATATACTCATATAAGATTCATAGGGGTTTAGAAGCGGTGAACTAAAAAAAAACAATATAAGTTTTTGTACACTTTTTTGCTGAGTATATTTTAGTAAGAAAAACATTGCATTACAACAACGATGTTTTATTAGTAAAATATACTCAGCAAAAAGTCCAAGCAACATGTATACGATTTTGAACTTTTGTACTATTTTTACTATTTTAATATATTTATACCATACTATTAAAACATTTGTAACCAATATCGAAAGGTTTCTGTTTATTAAAACCGCCAATTTGTGTTTTCGAGAACAATAAAGATTTTATATCAATATACTTTGTTAAGAATATAAATAAATACCAAAATAGCACATACAATTTACAGTAAATGATGAGTTTTGCTAATATTTTAAATGTGTGTATTAAAATTTAGTGATATGAAATTAATGTAGTTTTGTGTTTGAAGTAGCGATTACCACTCCAGTATGTTCGATTGAAGTTACAGTAGTCGTTCTAGGTTTTTCGCTTTAGATCTTAGGACCGGAATGAAAAAAACAGTGTATTTAATGAAAATCCAATGATCCAGCAAGGAATTTAAATTTAATATACCAAAAAAATCGCAGGTGATTGATGAAGAGAAAAAAGAAAAAGCTGTATTTAGCCAATTTTACAATAACAAACATTTTTAGCAGTCATTAAAACTTGTGAAATATTACATCTAATTACCTTCCAAACTTTGGTCGTAGCCCTTTGTGAAGAAAAGCATGGCTTTGGCGGCTCTCTCTGGGGTCTTCAGTAAACCTTGCCTTTCTGGGTCCTCGCCTAAACCTAGAAACAAAAATAAATACACATATAAATTATATTGCCCCAAAAGCTCTAATTCATTTTAACTGGAAATAAGTTATGTAAACATTGTTTAAAATACTTCTTATTAAATATTTCTTTACTTATTTGAGTATCCCACAGAAATCTTTAATTTTTTCGGGATATTCTTTGACTCAATTGTGGTCATAAACTTTTATCACGGGTTAATCGAGTTTATCATAAACGGGTTTATCGAGTAACAAACATACAAACTATCACGTATATAGTACGATTTGTCGCCCAAATAGCAAAAGAATGTTGTCTGGGTACAAGCTGGGACAAATTATTTATTCTACAGTAAAACAATAACTAAAGTATTTTTTAAGTGTTGAACTGTTCACATTGACCACATTATACCCTATCAAAGCAATGGTGTGATATCAAAATTTTTTTTCTTCCTTCCCACGGCCGCGTTAAGATGTTCGGTCACTGAACAGAGTGATATGATAATTAAATTGATGTCATCTAAAAAATAGTGTGTGATTTGTGCATTTTAAAACAGTTTAATTAGTGCATGTTCATTTAGAGTTTTAAAATTTCAATGATGAAGTTACCTACACATATAAAGTAGTTTTAGTTCGTGTTTGGCAGCACAAACACTACTTATATAACTATGTTTTTATGAGAATAAATTCTTTAAACCTAAACCTAAATAACACTAAAGCATGGGGCATGCATTGATTTTGTTTTGCTTTCAGTCTAGCATGGATGACTTGATTTTTTTACTCCAGATTCAGAAAAAACAAGGTTCGGCGTGTATCTTTTGCGAAATAAATTAAATAAATTCTGAATTTGGTTTGGTTGTTTTGATGATTTATATACACACGTGCAGTTTTCAATTTTTAAGAGTATTAGACGCTATAATATGTCGAAGGGACGGCATTTAATCGAATTTTGCGAATACAGTTTAACGTAAGTACATGCATGCGTAAAACATGGAACTGTAAATACACAATACGCCACTAAAACCTGCACACACAATATCACGAGTATGCCCTATTTGTAGGCCCAATTCGACAAAGGTTAGCTGTGTATGCCTATTCACCTTTTTTTTCTTATTTTTTTTCCAACACACACCAATTTGCCTAGCCCCAAAGTAAGCACTGTAAGGCTTGTGTTATGGAATACTAGGGTAACGGATAGAATACATATACTGTACATATATAAGTATATTTATATATAAATACATATTAAACATCCATGACTGGAGTACGAATGCTCGTATTCATCACACAAACATCTGCCCCCACCGGGATTCGCACCCGGGACCTCTCGAGTCGGCGACACCATGAAACCGGGCGTACAACCCACTCGGCCACGGAGGTCGTATTTGGAAAAGGCGCTACGCCTCCCTGAACCACCGGGAGTAGCGCGAACAGGGTATCTGAAGATTTCTTCCAGTTCCATAGTCTCGATGAAAAGAGCAAGACACTACCCAGTAAAAATCAGATACAACCAGCGGACCAAAGTCCACGGAATATATACTGGATCCCATACAGGCCGCGCCGTATTAATGTCTTTGCTCTGTGCTATGTATACAACATAATGCTATAAATTATATATGAATGCAATAGATTTAAGTATTACCTGTGAGCAGTAGTCTGTAGGAGCTTGCCATGTCGGGCAGTAGTGCCTCCCTGGTAGGTGGTCTGTGGTCCAGCTCCAGATCATGGTGGAATGTGCAGTTCTCGTGACCTGGGGCAGACAAGGGTAGCAAGAATTAGTCATCATCAACATCATCAGCATTGAAATGTCGCCCACTGCCACGGAAATAGCTGGGTGTGAGGACAGGAGTGGGAGGTGAGTTAGCGACTGCAGATGCAGCGGAGACCAACAGCTTAACTTGCTTTCCGAAGCACTGAGTTCGAAATAATATATTTTGAAAATTTTGGTCACCCATCATAGGGAGAAAGGGCGCTGACTCGCATTTTGGTTGCTGGTAACAGACAGACGCAACCTTAACTAATGGCTTATCTATCCTTTCTAACTTGGTCACCCATCAGTCGACCGGATATAGAGAAAGTTGCTTCATTTCTTCAATCGCAGAATAAATGCGTTAACCGTACAGCGCGATCGAACTCCTCGGAGATAATGCAGTGTTAAGTTATTAATACGATGGTAAGTTATCGGATGGTTGGGTAAAAGTAAGCAGCTAACGCATGTATATATTTCCTTCTCTCTTGATCCAGCATAGAAATTCCACATTAAGTAAACAACATTCAGTGTTAACAAAAAATCACATATTGGTTTGGGTGAATTACACACACGGCAATTTTGTTTTTACTTAATTTGAATAGAGATATTAGATTTAATTTGATGAGGCTACAAAAAAGTGGTCTGACGCCATTTTCCAGACAAAGAACAATATTTTAATAAATATCAAGAGTCATCAAAAGATGTTATAGGTATATTGTTGGGGAATGAATGGAAATTTTATTATACAATCTTGTGGTTTTGTTTAGTAGTTGTATATTATGATTTTATGATTGAGGTGAAATAAAGTATCTTTTTTGAGTTAGCAATAATAATATTGTTTAATATTATTGCCATACGATATGTGTATACAGATAAATTGACCAAGCAAGAATCATTAAGAAAAACTATTAGTCAAGTTAACAAATGAAAGAATTTAAATGAATCGACACCATGGCATGGCTGGCATGATTCTCTAAACTTTAAACTAAATTTAACTTCAGTCTCTCATTTTCATTCTGTATAAAGAATGGCAAGGATATACTATTGTCAAATTTAAGTTGACATTGAGAGAATCATGTCAGAATCGAGACCATTACCAAGTTGGCCTAGCTTAACCGACTCCGACCGGTACGCACCCATTACGCGACGCCCCCGGCCGGGACGCATCCGCAGTGAAAGACTGCATTGTGGGTGCATCCCGGCTGGGGGCGTCACGGAATGGGTGCATAACGACCAGACCCGCTTAACCAACGTGATCTTGAGAATAGACAAATTGATACAAGGCAAGTGTTACTGTTTAGCTAGACGTGGTGGAAGTTTGAAGACGACTAATACAAGTGACCAATATAGACGAGCGCAGGCGAAAATATTTGAATCAGTGAAAAAATACCCTAAACTAAAGATGACAATTATTAAGTTGCGTGAATAGCTAGTAACAAGGTACTTAACAAATTGTCCTAGGTTTTCAACGTAATATTTCAGAGAAACCATTTATCACCCACCTTGGAATATAAAATGAATTCATTCGTTTAATTATCTCTAGTTTTCAATGAGATAAGACGATTGTTAAAGGTGATCGAGTAATCTTTTGATTTCTAAACAAATTGGTACAGTTGGGTATTGATATAAATCGCTTTAATGCAAAAAATACATAAAAAACATTAGCGGTCTTACTACAAAAAGTAAGAGACGGTTTCAGACCTTGTTTAGTCAAATGTTTTTTTTTTCTTAAACTCGCGTTGAACGCGAATAAGATAAGTGTTTATAAAATACACCAAAAAGAATTCATTTATTTTTGTTCAAAGTAAAAAACTTGTTTCTTATGAAGAGTAGGGGGTAATTAATTTTAATATCATCTTTAGATACCTACAGTAAGTATCATCTAACGGGCGCACGCAGAGAAGCCAATTAAATTTAATGCTCGTCACGAACATTTCCAACGTCACGTTGTCTCATTCTATTCTTATCACAAAGAAAGAGATAACATATTAACATAAATAAATAACATAAAATTAACTGAAGAGATTTTTTTTATTTGTTAATGGGTAAGCTCTAAATCCTCTATCAAGTCCGAGAGCTGATGCCCAAACACGAAATTTGACAGCTCTGTAATCGTATCGTCAGCGTCAAATTTTGTATGGAAGGAGCCAGTTTGTTCTTACGTCCGGTAGGGGCGCTGTTTAGGTTTCATAGAAACTTTGATTCTGTCTGTATTAACGCCATCTATCCTTCAACGAGAGAATCTACAATCGGTCCATCTTCATCATCCGTTCATACATTCATTCCTCACTCATTAGTTTTATATACATTCACTCTTTTCTTGCGATTCGAATTCAAAAAGATAACATATTCGCACATAATTTCATAAGATCTGGTTTTTTACTTTGAATAATATTCTACAATCTGAATATCCGATTTTTATTGAGAAATCCACATAAAGAAGACACTAAGCTATCTAACAGTCTGTGTTGTTCCGTAGATCCTAGGACCCATAACTTTGAAGATAGGATCTACCGTGTAACGAGCCTACCCAGATGAAGCATATTCATTCAGGCTTTAAAAAGAGTCGGATTATACGAGTATGAACTCGGAAACACAGATACATTCAAGGTATTTCCACTCTTTAGGTGTACGCATTATAAAATTATTTGAGAAGCTAGATCTTTAAAAAAAGCTTTGTCGATCGCATACAAAACTTTTCGAAACTTACTAAACTTGATGACGGGAAAGTTTACAACTAGATTTTTCTATAAATTTTTGTTAACCTCCTAGCCAGCATTGTTTGCATAAACCTAAGAACCTTAGCACGAACCTATATCTAATTCGAATAGTTGAGATCTCAATACGCGTCGAAATGTCAAGAAGTTCATGACATTCATTTCATTCATTCATGACTTCCTGTCATTCAAACGGACGTAACAAGAATATTAAAAGTCTTCCATACAAAATTTCTATTATATGTCAAAATACAAACCGGGTGTTGTTGAGGTTCTTGGTGTCATCGGCGTGCCAGGTACCTCGAGTTCGCTCTCAGCGTCCACCAGATGGAAGCTCTTCAGCGCTTCTGGCGCTGTTTTGTACTTGCTGACGAAAGATTTTACCGCGCCAACGCCGTTATCGACGCCATTTTCTTTCTCTTCCGAAATCGAATTTCGAATGGAACGCGAACTCACGCGCCTTATTAGGGACGAGGGTGGCACTACCGGTTCGTCTTTGCCGTTCATCGACATATTTAAAACTGTCCTTATTTTTTTTTTAAATCTAGAAAAAAGGTTTTGTTTTTACGTTTTTTTTTAATTAAATTTAATAAATGTCAAGGAATTTATTGAGAAAATGTACGTTCGACGTTCACTATTCGCAGCGTGGTAATAACAAATTGTGTGACAATTGACCCAGAGGTTATCATGCAATTGGTATACTCGAGTAATATCATATATCACATAGATACGGCAGCGTAGTTGGGAAGTGGTGATATTAAGGTGTACGATTTTCTTGATGTTACGCAATATGCCTAACTAATTACTTCTTTGTCGATGTGTCTCCTATTACTTTGCCTAATGAATGACAGAATAACTGGTTATTAATTTTAACTTTGTGTTTCGCAATAATATCGTAACATTACTGTGTTTTAAGAAATTGTAATTGTATCTTTGTAAAGAATATTTTTTTAAATATTGTTTAAAGAATTAAGAGTCTCTTAAGGTATAAACTTAATAATGAAAGTTTAACTTATTAAAAGGTTTTTAAATTTTTTATTAGCATGAGAGATGAATGATGAGTCGTACAGCCCTAAAACTAAAAGGAAATCATAAACCTTTAAAAACTCAGATATCAAAGCTAAATAGTTTCCGTTTAATTAACCTTGGCTTCATTTTGTCAATAATAGAGCTTGAAATGTCATAACTTCCTAACTTAGTTATGATTAGGGTTCCTTAAAGAATAACTCCCAAATAAAATCCACTTTACGGAACTATTTATCTAGTAAAATTACATAGGATGTTGTAAGTCAATGCCACAGGAAACTGTAATTGAATGCTTAGGTATATTTTATTATTAAACGTAAGCAATTTTTTAATAGAGCAATCAAAACGATTTAACTACTTATAAAACCTATATATAAGCGCGGCAAAAATTACCGCCAAAAATTTTACTCACAGACAAATAATCGTGACTTTTATTTGCCGATTTCGGCTAAGGAGAATATCTACGGAGCCTTGTTTTAATAAAAAAAAAGAATTTGCTCTCAATGTTGTTCAAGTTGCACTGTTCCGCTTCGGTGATGTGATAATAGTTATTGGCTATTGAAATGTTTCTTGTTACCGTTTATGATTCAATGTTATTCAACCTGACCTACACCTTGACCATGAAAGTTGTGAGATAATCGTCTGTGTATGTGTTTTTTGTATGTGGCAATTAAATATGGTGTCAGACATATAAAAAAATAGAGTGAATTGATTGATAAGTGACGTTTTAAAAAACTTTTAGGTATATTTAGGAAGTTTTTTTTTAATTGTTTTATTTTAATAACTACTCATAATCCTCTTTAATTTTAGATGATTATTTATGTTTCAAGTTTTGAATTTGCGTATGGTTCTATTGTGACTATATTAAAGCCCTTTAAAGACCCTTATCTATCTATATATATATAAAACTCAAAGGTGACTGACTGACTGACATAGTGATCTATCAACGCACAGCCCAAACCACTGGACGGATCGGGCTGAAATTTGGCATGCAGGTAGATGTTATGATGTAGGCACCCGCTAAGAGAGAGAGAGAGAGAGAGAGAGAGAGAGAGAGAATTTTGATCAATTCTACCCCCAAGGGGATAAAATAGGGAATGAAAGTTTGTATGAAACTTTGTCAATTTTAAACCGATCGGGCTGAGACTTTGCATGCAGGTATAAGAAGAATCATAGATGAATGTCATTGTGTATGAATCAAGCCTGAGAACAAAAACCGTAGTCTACACTTCAGCTCTACACCGAAGCGAAGCGAGAGCGGGCCGCTAGTATTTAATAAAAACATTCCAGTCACTGGTTAAACCCATCTTTAGTTCAATATTTATAAAAATAATTAAAATATTATTGGAGACTGATTATACCATTTAATAATAGAAGGAAAACTGGCAAACCATGTTGAACGTTACTTTTCTGTATTTTTTTTTAAACAAGTTTTGATATGGTAGATTGGATATCAATTAATCATTTTTTGTGTTACGTAATAAAATTCGAACTGTTTTTAAATTTAGTCTTATATTAAGTAATGGCCAATTTAACTATTTGGATATTGTTATTTTGTTTTTTATTATCAAATTGATTCTGCAAGCAAAACCATGCTACCACTCAAAACAAAATTTGAACAAATCGATTGACTTTACAACCTATGAATGATCATACATGTATTATAACAAAAGCAGCAGGTTTTTATTTTTGAAATAACCAAAAAACATCTAAATCTACATGAAATATTAAAGTTTCACTTCATAAAATCTTAATTTTGTAACTGGTGCCACGATATTAAGATTAGTGAAATATCATTTGCCCTAATGTAAAAAAATAATACATATTTCTTCTTTTATCTACTCTAAAAACAAGCAGAAGTGAAACACGTGATTTTAATCCGTTTAAAAATTATTGAAACATCAAATATTTTTAATCTTTTTAAGCTTAAAGAAACAATAAATAAAGATAATCAAATGTTAATTGGGATGTTGACATTTTATAGTTCCAGTTATGTGAAATATTTGGGGCGCTTTCATTGATATTATTTTCTTAATCAACGCTTTCATTTTGTATTTAAAATCAAACTCATTTGTGTTCGAATGACAACGTTCTTTATACGCAGTCTAAAAAGAATTGTTGCTAAGAGGTTAATGCATATATTATGGCCTGTATTTAAACGCAGAAAAAATCCAGTTCTGGAAAATTTTTGGCGCTATTTTGTGGAGTTGAATTTTTTTTTGTGTGTCCCACTTTTTCAATTCGCATTTTGTTTAATTTTGTTATATAAAACCGGTGCAGTTTTTCGTTTTGCGAACTCACGAATATTATGTGGGATGTCTAAGATTCTATTAGTTGTTTTATAAGCTTTAAGACAAAAGAGTGAATGAAACACGCGAACTCTTGGTTAACTTGATAGAAGTAGTTATATGTTTTATTTTTTAAGCATGTAACTGCTTAAAAAATAAATAATATAACTGGCGCTGCCTTGCAGCTTAAGAATGCCTGGAAGAATTTCGACGCGGCCATCAGGGCCGCGGTAGCATAATTGGTCAGTGCATTTGCCCGGATAGCGAAGTGCGGGTTCGAGTCCCGGCTGGTGCCTGGTCATTAGTTATATTTTCTTTTGATAGAAGTATTTGACGGTAAACACTCAGGTTTAATTGCAATGTTGCATCCATAATTCAATGAAGCCGCATTATATACATTCCATTCAAAGAAAATATAAAGAAACAATGGTATGTACTATCGAAAATTTTAAGGCCATTTTTTGGGTTCCGTGGCTCAAAAAGGAAAAACTGAACCTTTATTAGGATCATTTTGTTTGTCCGCCTGTCTATCTGTCGGTCAAGACCCTTTTGAGACTTCTTAGATTCCAGTTGAAGTTTAAACACCATACCTACTCAGTCTTACGGTCCCTCGAAGCTTTGAAAATATCAAACTTCTCAAAAAAGAAACGTTCGTTTATCTGTCTGTCCGTTTAAACAACTTATTGATTAAGGTCTGTGTTAAAGATTAAGTCACGTACGATATGTGTTCTACTTATTTTTGATTTAAACAGCAACCTTTATTATTAAGTTAAATCCTAAATAGTGGTTAATAATTCGATGTTTTAAGTGTATGTAGCTGTAATTACTATAGTACTGCTATAGATAATGTCCTTGTTTGGTGTAAAAGTGATTGTGTGTCCTTACCGAGAGGTACAGTTAAGTATACCAACGTTAGTTTATCAAACTTTCATGGTTTGTGTTTAGGATAATCAGTTTAAATAAGGCTTATATCTTTATGTCTTTTATTTTTTAAGCATTTAACAGCTAGATGATCAAATCTAAAGAAAAGTTTGCCCGTTTGTCCCGTCTGCTGCCTCGAAGGCTAATATATAATAATAATAATAAGCCATTTATTCATTAACAAAATTACAAAATAATATAACAGTCCCATATACCATATACACTAGCCGAAGCCCATCCTATGGAGGAAGCAAACAATTAATAATAAATCATTTACGGCTTTAAAATACTAGCAACAAAAAAGAATGAAACGAGAATCTCAACGAGCTGTTCTTCTGGGTAACATTATTAATTCAAATGTATCTTTATTATTGTAATTTAATCAAACAAAACCGCGATTAATATCGTTCAAAATTAAGAGCATATCCGGTTTATTTCAAAAGAATTGTAAAGATTGATAGTGATTTTCTTTCTTAACTTAAAACTTAGTAAAATAGCATCAAAGTTTAAGTGAATGAATTCGATTACAAAAGCTGATGCTAGCTTAATTCCTCGAATCAAGAAGATAATAATAAAAATAAAACGGAAAGGAAAAGAGCGAGTCGGATTCGCCCATAGAGGGTTCCCTACAAAATTGTAGGAACGCAACATAAACGGACGTATCCTTTGGTTATGTTTAATTAGCATTTTGATTTTTTTAAAGCTTCAAGAGGCCGTAGATTTGACTATATAGCTTAAATTGAAACTTTATGAAGTTTAAACTTCCCGAGACAAATCGTCTTGACAGACAGAAGGACAATCAAGTGATCTTATAATATATAAGTACGAAACTCTAATAATAATTACTTAATAACAAAACTTGAAAATTTAAACGGTACTGATACACGGGTAAAGTCTAAAACCATGTTTATTGTGCCATAAACGAATATTTTTATATTTCTTATAAATATCTACGAATTTAATTGATAAATTAAATCATACACACACGATAACCTAACAATCAATAATATTAAACTATGACAGTACTTTATTGAACGAATTTTGACTATAAGCATAGTTATTGTTAATTAAATAATGTTGATAAAATAGCTCTACAATATTTTTCTACGATTACTCAACCATCGTTGTTTAAACACAAACAAAACAAAAAACAGATAAATACTCTACTGTTTATGTTTTGATTACGATTATTCTCACAAACATTAAGTACATGGTGATATACAGTGCAACACTAAGTAAACACCTTGAGTTTAGGTCAAGTAAGCCTACATA